CTCCATGTAGAGTATGAAAAATAACCTATAGCACAGAGCAGGTAAGTTCTCTCTCAAGAAAGACCCACTTATTGAAGACCTGATAGAAGGAGAAGCCATTACTCTCCCCAGTGCAGGAGAGGAGTAACCACACAGCAATTAAAGAAATCAGAAGACATACCACACTGGGTAAATATACTGTCAAGGAGCTTTCTAATGTGTTAAGGAGCAATGATGTCAGTTTAAAGACTAAGGTGCACCTGATTCAAGCCACTGTCTTTTCAATTACTTGTCATTTGTCTGCAAGTTGGACAATGACTAACGATGATAAAAAAAAAAAGAATCAATGTTTTTGAGTTATGGTGTTGGAGAAGAGTAGAATATTCCATGGACTGCTAAAAAGACAAATAAGTATGTCCTGGAGAGAATGCAGCCAGGGTACTCCTAGGAGGCAAGCTTCGTTTCACATATTTTGGGCATGTTGTTAGGATGATCCTTAGAAAAGGATATCAAGTTTGGAAAGGTAGAGAGTCAGAGAAGAGAGGAAGACCCTCAACAAGATGGACTGGCCCTAACAATGGGGTCAAGTACATCAGCGGATGATAAGGATGGCACAGGATAGGGCAAGGTTCAGAGCCATTGTTCACAGGGTCACTGTGAGTCGTAGTTAACTCGATGGCACGTAACAACAACAGCAGTCTCCTGTGGTGTGGCCCATAGGAAGGTATGGTGCTGACCCAAAGGCAGCACCTCTCGAGTGGTTCAAGTACACCAACGGCTTCATGCGTGAAAGACAGGCAATCTCCTTTTGTGCAATTCACAGCCTCTGAAAACCTGCAGGAGGGTCAGCGATGAGCCAGCTCTCTCTGGATGGCAATGAGTTTGCCTGGGTGTGTTTTAGTTCCCTGTGAAGTAGGGAACCTCATTGTAGAGCTCTGGGGTATGTCTATGACCAGGTTCTAGCATCATGCCAACGGTAAGGGAATTCAGAGAAGTAGTTCTGAGTTCTTCAGTTCTTCGAGGCTTCCCTCATTCATGAGGGTGTGGTCTCAACCACCACGGAGCATATAACCACTGTCATCAAGTTGGTTTCAATTCACAGCAACTCCCCCACAGGGTTTCCAGCACGGTAAATCTCTATGGGAGGAGAAGGCCCACCGTTTTCCATACAGCGTATCCAGTGGACTTGAATTGCTGATTTTTCCGTCACCAGCTCCATACATGGCAGGCTATGCTACCATGGCTTCTGTGGAAAATATGATAGAGTCTGATGCTTGGCTGCTAACCAAAAAGTTGGTGGTTCAAATCTATCAGCCACCCTGGGGTGAAGACGCTTTCATAAGGATTCCAGTCTTGGAAAGTCACTGGGGCAGGTATGCCCTATCTTATAGGATCGCTTTTAGTAGGAGTCCATTAGAAGGCAATGGCTTCAGTTTTGGATTAGAAAGCTCTCTATCAATTAGTTTTCCATGTGTTATTTGGAAGAACTTTCACTGTGGAAAGGGGATTCCTGAGGTTGTTGTGATTTCTATGTCACTGAGGAATTCAACAAGAGCCTAAATGTATCCTACGCTGGAAGGGAAGATAGCTTTGAGGGCTCAAATAAAAGAGGTAGAATATTGTGGAGAGAGAGAGAAAAAAAAAAACTACAGCAAGAAAGAAGTGGATTTTTGTTTGTTTTTTAAATTTTTTTTATAGTTTTGTTTTTTCCTTATTACTTGCTGTGTGCTGTTGAATCTGATCAGACTGGCACAGGAGGAGATTGCCCCTCCTTCTCCAGCAGAGCTTTGAGGGCTCAAATAAAAGAGGTAGAATATTGTGGAGAGAGAGAGAAAAAAAAAAAA